AACATAAACAAATAAAATAAAATAAGCCTTAAGAAGACAAAAAGAAGAAAACTGTACATAATGTGTTACACATGGTTTTTTTCTTGATTTTATATATTTCACCTTTATTTATGCAGGTAAACTGTTTGAGAACCACTTCTCATTTACAAACATGACCTGACATGATGCACTGAGTGCATTGTAATATACAAACCTACAGATTCAGTCAGAGTAAAGTGATTGTACATTTTAATCACAATTAAAAAAATTAATATATGCCAATGCAGCACTAAAATTAATCAGAGTTAACTTGATTAATTTCACAGCCCTAGTTAATATTGTTGCTTTTTTTAAAAAACATCTTTATTTACAACGGCAGCCAGGCTGAATGAGTTCCAGGTGGACCTCTGGTCTTTCTGGTTCTAGTTAATTTTTAGTTTTTCATTTATTAACGATGGATGAATTTTATTTTTTTACAACTGTTGTTTATTTTTTTGTTTGTTTTCTTATTTGCAGCTTGTCTTACACTAATACTGATGATCATCGTGAGTTGATCAATTCTGCCAGCATGCAATAGATAAAACACAACAGGACTGTTGCTTTCACTTCCACTAAAACCTCCTCTTTGAAGCTCAGGTATAAAAGTTATCATGAGAGCAGAACAAAGACACAATCTGACAGAGGAAAAACACCGAGCGTGGCGTCTGTGATGATGGATCACAGCTTTGAACTGTAGATGCAGCGTCGTTGTGATGGAGCCTTCATGGAGTGTGAAACAGAACAGGATGTTTCAGGCATGGACTGTAAGGCAGCTCAATTATACACTTCACATTGCATTTGTTATGTGTGAGTGTGAACGGCCGAATCAGAGAGGGCATAAAAGAGTTTAAAAGAAAACGTTTTTGCTGGCTTCACTGAAGCTCCAGACTGCGCAGATTAAACTCGCTTAGAAAATGTAAACAGAAACGTAGCGAAGCAGTTCAGTGATACGTTGACCTGTCTTTTGTAAAGAAACTGCTCAATGATATTTCTGTTAGCGCCCATAAAATGAAGGTTTAAACGGTTTTTATACCGCCATAAGGTCATTAACATTATAATACTAGACTAAGGGGCTGATTTATCAAAGGTTTGCATGTGCAAAAATACAAGTTAACTTGCAAAGCTAATTAGTAACAATTTCCTATGTCTGTCAATACAGCAAAACTGCAGAGGTGCAGTCATGAGAGCATGTTGGCTGTTTTTGTATGTATGTTTAGTAGGGTTGGGCATAATCGTATCGTGTGCAATTAATTATCAGAAAAACATTAATCGATTACTCTTTGGCACTTGATGATTAATACGATTAACGTCACCATCAGTCCGCTCGGTGCTCCTCTCTGCTTCAAAAATGACAAAACGTTAAAAAGAAAATGTTCTTCGATTTATTTATCTATCAACACAAGCCTGAAGACTGTAATTTTGACACAATTTAGAACAGATTTTTATGAAGAGCAAATCTTTCCCACTAAATTGGTCATTTGACAAGGGCAGGGGTCTGCAACCTGCGGCTCTGGGGCCACATGTGGCTCTTTGGTCCCTCTGCTGTGGCTCTTTGAAAATGTGACCAAAAATAACAGAAAACATACAGTATATATATTCCTATATATACAGCGGGTAAAATAAGTATTGAACACGTCACCATTTTTCTCAGTAAATATATTACTAGAGGTACTAATGACATGAAATTTTCACCAGATGTTGGTAACAACCCAAGTGATCCATACATACAAAGAAATCAAACCATAAATGTCCAGAAATGAAGTTATTTGTAATAATAATGTAACTTCATTTCTGGACATTTATGGTTTGATTTCTTTGTATGTATGGATCACTTGGGTTGTTACCAACATCTGGTGAAAATTTCATGTCATTAGTACCTCTAGTAATATATTTACTGAGAAAAATGGTGACGTGTTCAATACTTATTTTACCCGCTGTATTTTAATTCTCACACAGGAACAGGAAGTGATGTCAGCACACAGGAGGTGAAGCGGACACACAGGAAGTGATGAGGACACACAGGAAGTGAAGCGGACACACAGGAAGTGATGAGGACACACTTCTGTCACAGAGGTTTTTATTTTCGTGGAGAGTCTAAACTTTTCTGAGAGGAAGTTACAACATGAGGAAGGTTGAGACACGGGACACAGAGACGTCTCATGGTCCAGCT